CGTGTGTTTTATTGAGCACTAGATTGCACTCACTTATGGGAGCGATTAAAATCGATTTAATCCATTGTCGGCATAAATCAACCAGCCAAAATCTTCTGCTGGCGAAGGTCAAGACTGTTCCCCAAACACCCCAGCCACCCCACTTCAATCAATTTGATGGATGGTGAAATATACATATAGTACATAGCCATAGCAAGTGTGTGTTTATCTACGAGTGGTCTTTGGTTGACAGCATTTATGGGGGGGAAGTGTCATTCATCATTTCTCCCTACAATGCGCGTAACAAAAAACATTATTTGCCAACTTTCATTCTGATCGGACGATGAAAAGCCTTTTAAATGCAAATGTTTTATTTATATTGCGGAAAAAGCAACGAAGAAAAACTTGTTATTGATGTTTCCTATTGTTGAGTTTACTTGAAAAAATTGCAGGCACTGGAACAACAAAGATTTGCCCATCAAAAATAGAATGTTTACAAGCTTACTACGCTTTGCAGCAATTGAAAGCGACTTGTAGAGTCTCATCCTTAAAGTGAAAATAGTTTTCGATTTACAAATATATTCAAGCATATTAAAGTAACTTTCTAGATGACTGACCCAGGAAACATGATTACGAATCGAAAATGTGGAAAATTTCTTCGCTTGTTGCATTCCATTCAGCTCCTTTGCAATTTCCAGCTGCATCTTCATTTGAGTTTCCCTTCTCGTCGCGTTCAACCATAAATATTCATGTGACCTAATCGGTTTATGACTGCCATAATCGCCTGCACTTTGCACGTCTTTTGGTCATGAAGTTGGATATACTTTTTCCGCCATTTTTTTCACTTTTTCACTTTTGTATTCAGTGCCGACATATGTCCAATATGGAATGTGGGTTAATCTGAAAGAAGCAGTCGGACAACTTGAAGCTCCGCTTATGAGTTCTTACTTTTATAAAATTAATTGCATTTATTTGTGATATTTTCCTTCGCCTTAAAGTCCATTATGTGTACTGACTTAAATAAGAGTGATATATATAATTTTATTTAAGAGCGATAAGGTGAATAAAAACATTAAAAATTTTCTCTCGTGCCAATCGGGCGTATACGTAATTTACAGTCATTTTATTTTTGTATGCAAAAATTGACTTCTAAAGTCTTACCCAATCATTTATTTCTGTAAAGTTGACCATTAATCGAAATGATATTCTCAAGTATTTCTATTCAATTTCTCTACGCTCGTTAAAAAACACCCAATCTCTTTGGCATTTCTTCCACGCTTTCATGAATCTCGTTGGATGCGTAAAAAATATTCAATAAAAATGGAATACGGGTTACATATGGCTCCCGCCAAATGTCAGCAAAGCAAGGGAAAAATGCGTGTATTTACGCGACATATTTACGGCGTTTTAAATGAAAGCACGTGTTTAGCAAGGCAAACGATGTCGCTGATGCCTCAAATATCGCTTCTAAAAAAGTCAAGGCACTGGGAAAAGTGGCTGGAGCACCGAGATCCGCATCCTCGTCCACATCAGCCAAACCAGGCAACCTGAAACGAGACCATAAAATGGCGAACGTTGGCAATAAAAACTAGAACAACTGCCAGTGGGCCAAAAGGTGGAGTAGGGAAAATGGGGCAGGTGGGAAAATGGAGGGTGGCTAAAACGCGGGCAGGTGGAGCGCATTACTTTGAAAGTACATTGAGCTTGAAAATGACTTTGTAAATGGCGCTCGACAAATATTTTATTACTAGGGAACAGCAACAATTTACTTTGTTCTCCCCTCTTACCACGCCCCTGCTTTTTCCTCAGCTTTGTTGCCACTTTTCTCCCTACCCGCGGACTCTTTACCTTCAAGCTGCACTTTAATTTTAATTCAAACAATTATTAGCACCACCGGTTTTCTGCTTAAAGTTTCACTATTCTTGTTTTAGTTAGTTTGTTTTTGCTTTACTTTATAATAGTGGACGAGTTTTCTGAATAAATTCTTATTAACTGGGAAAACCGGTTATATATTTTTCAAGAAAATATTAGGAAACTTGACTAAGAATATATAGAAATTCCCTAAATTTAATTGGTTTTTCTCTTAAATTGTTGCTTCAACTTCTTTGGTACAACATTAATTTTAATGTAATGCCTAAAAAACTATCCTAGCAAATCCAACACGTAAGCGCGCATAAATCAAAGGATATTATATTCGTTTTAATCCAAACTTTATAATCGATGACAACGAAAATCCCATTTAATTCTTTCTTTATTGGCTAAAATTTGTTGTTCATTTTAGCGCCTGCTGGGAAAATTTCATTAAAAATGATCAAGTTAATTTCACAAATTTGTGTGTATTTCACTTCCTCCACAGGGGATGGCAGCCCAGTGGATAAGGCCCCAAGGGGCCGAGGGTGCTATGGGACTATACTATATTTAGGGTGGCCATTCCATCGGAGGGCGGCAGAGTTATGGAATGTTGCCAAAATGCCAGCGGGTTAGACCTGCGGTTGCGGTTTGCCCTGTTCTGGTCGGACGAGTCCGAATTCTGGGTACTGTGTTCTGGGTGCTGGGTTCTGGGCCTGGTCTCCTCTGTTCCCCTTCGTTCCTGGCCTTTGAGTTATCCTTTTCGCGGTTACCTTTTGTCGCCAGCCATTGTTTTAGCCGGTCCATTGTTTAATATGCCGTGGACCGGGGATCGGGGACTGGGGCCCCGAGGAAAGGGTTGTGTTTGAGCCTGGCCATTGTTTTTTTTTTGGGGGGGCAGAGGGAGCGGGTGCCTAGTGCAAGTATTTTTCGTCCTGCTGTTTTCACTTGTTGGAGTGTTGACTTTGACGTGGTCAATGGTTGGGCGCCATAACAGCTTCATTACCGTGCCCGTTCCCAGTTGATTACAATTCACAAAATTAACGCCCATGTTGAGATTACTCCTTAATGTCTCAGCCAAGGAGATAACCCCACAGACCATCTTCCCGCGAAGAGGACTTTCTGGGCCCCATCCTTACGACTGCCGCGCGTAGTTTGCATTAATTTCGCGTTAATTTCACGCGATAATCGTATTTCTTCGTATAATAGTCTGGAAACCGGGTTTGGGGCGGGGACTTCCATATTGCTTTAATGGCGGCTAAAATGCTCTTAATGGCATCTATTTGAGATTTTATTTATGCACTCGAAAATCACATTGAAGTCTGGCTACTTTTTGCCAGCTTGCCTGCGGCTTGAATGTGTAAGTTGGCGAATATTTTCTATAGAAAGTCTATGGAAAGTAAAAGGAAGGAAAACCAACTAGCCGGAAATTTCACTGTCGGACTTGAGAATGTATTGGCGCAATTAGATTTTATTAGGCAAAGGAATTGAATCTATAAGAATACATTGATTTGTACAGCTCATTTTTGTAAGATTTTATTTTATCCTATTGCTTCTTTTCACTAGAATATATATTTTTAAATATTTTGCGTACCTAATTTGGCTTTGATAGCAGACAGATTTTTAGAACGGAAAGGGATCACTTCACAGAAATTTTATAAAATATTCAAAACATCTTTGTACATATTTTTTATTCCTAGGAAAAGTAAACTACACAAATTGCAATCGCAAAATAGCAACATCTAGTCAAATCAAGTCGATAGCACCGATAAAGAATATTGGCAATTTTGTTCTCTGCTGGACAACTCCATTTTTAGATATCGCAACCGAATTTCGCAGCGCTTTTTCATTGTAATCCTAAATCGCTTTTGTTTGATTTGCTGTCCATGGCCGGCAAATTAAAAGTCGCATGAATTGGCCCCAGCAAACAGTGGCGGGGTTCCACTGGAGGTTTTTGAGGGGTGTCAAAGGGTAGGGGGGCAAAATGAGCAATGGACCTTCAACAAAATTCTAATTATTCATTGTCGACGCGCCGCTCGCTGACAGCGAAAACAATGAGCGCACTCAACTGTGAAAACTGCAACTGCAACAAAGCGCATTCCAAAAGCAGACTGAAATAGGAGGGGAGCGGAGTGACGCATTTACTGTCGCACTAAAAATAAAGCTTCGGGCCAAAGGATTCGCCAGCCATGAGAAACATTGTCAACATTTTTTACAATTTTCTAGTCGTTATTTACCATTGTTTCCAGCTCCGGCCATTGTGGGAGATGCACAGATACAGATGCAGCTACAGATGGTGATACAAATGCGCAGATACAGATACAATCCCTGCGTCCTCAGATACAGGGCTTTGTGTATCCATGACTGTTGGCTATGCTGGCTATGGCAGCAATTTGCAGCATTTAGTCCAAGTCCATTTAACTTTAATGCACTCTCTCTTTCTCGGTCTGCCATTGGAGTTATTGCAGCTTCCTTTATGGAAACGCCAGCAGACGATCGTTGATTTATTGCCAGCAATCAGAAATGTATTCAACTTGGACTGTCCACTTATAGAAGTGGGTGATTTTGGTTTTGGTCACAAGGACACCGTATCCTCACTTTGCCTCGGGTCTTTCGTCCTCCCTGGTGCCCAATTACAAACAGTTGGCACTGTGGCCAAAAGATTTTGCCCAACTATCTGACCCACGCCCAATTAATGAATGCTCGGCCCAGTGCCAAAATCCGCTTAGACGCAATGCGACACGTCCGGTAAAAAAAAAACAGAAATAACAAAACTAGGTAGGAAATCCTAAACCAAGAAATACAAACTTTATTTATTTTCACTGTTCAGGGCTGATGTTTTTAGGCTAGGATTCTATTGAACTGGCAGCTGACCAATCTTAAAATGAAGTAAGATGAAATGGAATACATGTCTTTAATTTTGTACATGCTTAGCCTTTCAATACCTATCCATTATAATTGATTTAAGTTTAGTGTGGCTATACTTAAAATACAGTATAGAGACTATAGCATTTTTTAAAATCTCAATAAATAGAAACATATTTGCATTTCCAAGAAATTATCTTGGTTTTAGCCAGCTGAGCATGCCTTGTCCAACAATCCGTTTCGTATCGTGGCCTAGAGTAGGCTGTGTTTTTATATTTGTAGAAAATTTCAATGAAAAAACAGCAAAATTCTGGATTAATTTTATGTGTGAGTATGGAAAGCGTATAAAGAATATAGTAGAATAGTGATGGTAAACCGCCCACCAGCTACTTAGTTTTGAAGGTACCTCTGTGTAGCAGACGAGTGCACTCAAAATCCCAGTAGTTCCGATACGAAGACGGCACAGGACACAGCGCCAGGATATCGATGGCCAAGCAAATGGCGGTGAACACAACGTCGCCGATGGCTGGGCGGCGCCTGCTCCGCGATGTGAACCGGCTGCTGGCCTCCGGTTACCGCACCACCGTGGACGACGACATGGCCAACCTGGACGTGCGCTTCGAGGGGCCACTGGGCACCGCCTACGAGGGCGGCGTGTGGACGGTAAACGTGGCCATGCCGCTGGATTATCCGCTGAAGGCGCCGCGCGTCCGCTTCGTCACCAAGATCCTGCACCCGAACATCGACTTCACCACGGGCCTGGTCTGCATGAATGTCTTCAAGCAGGCCTGGTCCTCTAGCTACGACCTGGTGAACATTTTCGACACCTTCCTGCCGCAGCTCCTACGCCATCCGAACCCCAATGACCCACTGAACCACAAGGCCGCCTGCATACTGAAGCAATCGGAGGAGCTCTTCCGCGAGCACGTCATCACCTGTCTGAAGATGTACGCCCTGCCCGTATTCCTCGCTCCAAAGGACCTCGTGGAGGAGGGCCTCGAGAAGCGATCCTCGGACCTCAGTCTCTCCGATCTGCTGTCGGATGATGACGAGGGGGATGGAAACGGGAATGGGAATGGTTCCATAGCACTGCCAGGTGCTGGGGCAGATTGAGTATTTGGATGGTCTTTTTTGTGTCTTTGTAAGAGAACAGTGTGTATTTGAACAAATATATCTAAATTGGAAGTATGATAAACGATGATCTTTTTCATTAACAGCCGCAGAAATTTAACTTAAGATACACATTTTAAAAGTGTATATATGCTATTTCTTCTTACAATTTTATAAAAAAGGATTATATATATTGATAATTTTATGTGCCTATATAAAACAAAATATAAATTTATTCAAATTTAATAATTTTTAAGTATTTAGCTTAACTTGAAGTGATAGGGGATGATCTCAACCTATGAAGAAAATTACTTAGCACGTTTTTATAAGTGTATTTATATTATCTAATCTATTCTATTCCCTTCTTATCAATCTTAATTTATTGTCATTTTATAAGTAGGATAAGTAAGTATTATCAACCATTTTAAATTCATGGCAATTAGCATTTTATTGCCTATCCAATGCCCCGAGGCCAAGATCTTGGCTATTAAATTGTTTGACTTAATTGTGTCAAACAAGATGAAACCAGATTGCCGTAATGTTCCGATAAGAAATTAATTTTGCTCCATTAAGGATAATTACGAATTCACTGGACATAATTGAAGCTGATGTCAACTTCATTCAACACTTTCAAGGGGCTTTAGCCAGGTGATTTCTGATTAATTTGTCTGATTAGGCGGACCGTGAGAAAGGGTTCGACAAACCCATCAGACAGCCGAGTTCAAAAGTGGAAAACTATAGCCTCGCACAAGAGCAGTCATGTGCAAACAACGATTTAATTACGATAATTATTTAAACAATTGTTTTTGATGGCCAGAAAGGACGAGTCTGGCTCATGGCATTTGAAGGTTAGAAAGCCATAACAAAGGCGCGAAGTGTTTGATAAATCGTATTTGATAGGGATTTGGAAAGGGAAAACAAAACAATTTGAGATGAATTTAAAAGCTGAACAAACAATCTTTAATTGGTTCTTCTGTAAAACTTCAGTGGGGATTTGCGAGTTAAATTTTGTGGTGCAGACCAATCAATATCTCCATGAAAAATAGGATAAGTGATAATTCGAAAAAGTGACAAGACGAATTCGTCTGCCTTTCCCCGAAAATTGGTTCAATACGATGGTGGCGATGCTTGGGAAGGGGCCAACTAAACGTGAATTTGGCTTTATTGACGCCTGCTGCTTGGCCTGGTCTGATTCTCCGACTGACTAAATGGCTGGCCACCTTCCTTCCTCCCATCCATCTATCCATCCATCCTGCCAATTCCAGAGACCATGGCCAATGTGAGTGCAGTGTTCCAGACAGTTGCGCAGACAATTCTGGTGAGGATGGGGCTGGGGGGTTTCTATATTTCTGGGGTTCTGGGCAGGTCGGATGCCTGCCTGTCTGCGTGTGCTGCCATCGAATTAGAATACGACGTGGCCCAGTCTCTGTCTCTCTGGGAACGAATTTATGCAATAGTCGTTGCCATTTTCGACTTTGAATGGCTTTATCTTCACAATTCCACAACGAAATGATGTCTTTAGTGAGACATTCGATTGAAAGTAATGGTAGGTGGGGGATGGCTGGTGATGGAGTCAGATCTTCCTTGCTCTTTGGGGTCCAAACACGTGGGGTGCTTAAAGATGGTGTCATCCTAACGAATAGATTGCACAAAATGAGCTTTGTTCTCCCCAAGAGTATGAAATTAATGACATCGAAGGAGTTACGCTTGCCGAACAAAAGTGCAAATTGAATCAACAGATTTAAGTGATTTAAATTTTTAAAAGGCTCCATTAAAACAATTTATATATTTTAAAGTTGTTCTTTAAGTCTTTAAGAAACGAATACTAAAGATAGTTAGTTCCCTATTTGTTGTTTTTAAAATAAATTGAGTTTTTTATTATCACAGCCTCGGCCTTTGATATTTTTTTCATATTGACTCACAAAAAAATCGCTTGAAGCAAAGAAGTTTAATTTTTCCTGCCATTGGCAGGTGAATGTTTCGTAGTGGAAGAATATGTTTTTTCCTTCGCATTGGCCATAAAATACCCTGTTCATTAATATAATTGTATGGGTAAACTTTATCGAATGCAACGCAAGAATATATACATATTTACCCAACAAGTATACCTGATACAAACAGTCACATAAAAAACCGAATTATGGTCTGATATTGCTCGTTCATGGACCATTTTATTAAAATCGTGGCAATAAAAAAGTGGCATTTATTTCAGACTGATTTCAGACAAACGTATTGCAGTCGCAGAACAAAAAATTGACTTAAATTAAAACCAAGGTGTGAACATTTTTTAAATATAAATAGAGTCAGGTAATTTTCAATTTTATACATCCAATTTAACCAAAATTTATGACTAAATATTTAGGGTTGGGGATTCTAGATTTGTCTAGACATTTGTGTGCCAATAAGTTGAAAATCCTTGTGCAAGTCCCTGGAAAGACTTTTCAATGTCCAGATGGCCAGATGACTGGGTCAATAGACGGTTAAAGCCAACTGTCCCGGCATTGAGCTTGCATCCGCTGGCCCTAATTTATTCAAGTCAATTGACTCGCAGCGAGGCGAGCTGAGTTTAGTTGGCTCCGCACGGTAATGCCAAGAGGAGGCTGGACTCATTAGCATATTCTAATTAATTTATATTATTCCAAAATGCACAAAACTTAATTGGTATGGAGCACTTAGTTAATGAAATTGAAGCTCCCGCCACGATGGGACTTTCTCCAGCCCTTTTCTTGAGCTCAACTGCCTTGCCATTCTTTGGTATCATGCAAAATTCTTAGCTGTTGACAATTTGGCGTGACTGGGAATGAAAGCCAGGCACTCGACTTGTACTTGATGGAAAGTTTCAGCTGTACATGGATGCCAACATTACATAACAATCCCAGGATCTCTGGATCCGCCCCCAAAACAGAAGCAGACCTCTCTCATTAGGGGACAGAACTCCCTTGTCGAGAGTTCCAGTTTTGTTGGCAAACAAATTTCAGGCGCCGTCTTCGCCGAGTTAGTTATGACTGCCAACTTTGCGACACACAATTTGCATTTCGGCTTCCCCCTGCCTGTCCAAGGACTTTCACAGCTTGCAAGTTATTTCTTTCTTCCTGTTTGACAACCAAAGGACATGTGTTCCAGTTCCTTTCCCCAGCTAATTTATGCCAAGACAGTAGTTTGTTGATGCGAAGATGCGGATACGATTGCCAGAGGAACACACCTGTGCTGTGTGTGTGTTCCCGCATAAATGTCTTGTTAATTTCACAAAACCCCGGCAATCGGCATACCTTGGGACTACCCACACTTCAGACCCTTGAGAGTTCTCCGGCGGTTTGGCTTGCCAGGTTTTGCCTCCCCCCTTCCCGACCAACATGACCATTGTTTGCCTACACAATTGGGTCCCCATCCATATACCATCCCCACCTTTTCCACCCAACTGCTGGCTGGGAATGTGCAATGTCAGGATTGAAGTCGTCTTTGGGCATACGCCAAACAATGCAGCTTCAATTACCAGGCAGCTTACAGCTTGTTTAGCTGAGAATGTTTTTGTTCGGATCCTTGGTGGTTAGGCTCAAGGAAGCCAATTCCCACTGCCAATTAAATGGAGTGGGACGCTAACGCTTAGAAGGATTGTTTACCAAAAGACACCTCCGACTAGAACCTCTTCATTTGGAGTTCAACCACAAGTAGATGCTAAAGGCTTTTCTGCAAGCCAGTTTGGGGATTTGTAATGCTACTTAAGCCATTCGTATTATTAAATTAAATTAATGATTAATATATAACCTCAATTATAATGGCTTCCAAGAGATGATTTCCCCGAAATCGAAGGAGTCTGCTAAGCGTACTGAGCAAGCTCATCAATCTGCCTTGAAGATAAACCCAAACGGATGTAAGACGACCCCGACCAGATCCACAGAAAATCGCATCCAACCTTGAACCGGAATGCCAATGATAAAGTAAGGCACTGAATACCACTCAGGTCTGCCCCATTCAAATTGCTGGACATTAAACGGATGTCGATAAATGAGATTGACAATGACAAACATGAAAGCGAAAAAAGTAGCCAGAAAAGAGAGAGCGAATTTACCCAACCCCACTGAGTCAATAAAATCCCCAAAAAGCAAAATCCCGCCCCTGAGGTCACTGGGATAAACTAAAAAGGGAAATGTTAAGCCGAAGCGGAGAGATCTGAGTGACAGCTGAACCTCTGCACCCGAACCCCTTCACCCCCCTCCATGGACCCGTCTCCGGGTTAACAGATGGCAGAACATATACGGTCACAGTGCCACATATGTCAACCGAAGCCAGTCCAGATGATTGCAGCCCAATGGAAGTACACTGACAATATTTGGATCCGAGCTTTATTTAACAGTATACTGCGTAATCTTTCACGGGTCAGTATTAGTTTAAATAATTCAAAAATAAGGGAAAGTGGGAACATATTTAATTTGGTCTTTAAAACCGTGTTTTAAATATTAATCAAAGCTATGCTTTTCTTTTGCAGTTTTTCAGTCGTGGTCTAGCCAAATCAAGGTGTACAGCTAAAAGACCGACTGTTTTGAGCAGCTAACAACTTATGCTAACTATTTCCGTAACTTTTTGGGAAATTTGTTTTTTGATCACTTTTCGCATTTTTTTAATCATGTTTTTTAGCGAAAAATGGCATAAATAAAAAATGTTCAGGCTTGAATGCCAATGGATAGGAATTTAAATTACGAGCTCAACGAGGATGACATTCCCTATTCTGACCTTTTTTTGCATTATGCCAGCCAAAACACTGATTTTTTTTAGCGAAAAATAGGGTTTTAAATTTCAGTCAAAAATACGCTTTTCTTTTGCAGTTTTTCAGTCGTAATTTAACCAAATCAAGTCGTACAGCTAAAAGACCGAATGTTCTGAGCAGCTAACAACTTATGCTAACTATTTCCGTAATCTTTTGGGAAATTTATTTTTTATCAATTTTTGCATTTTTTTAAGGGGTTGTATCATGATTTTTTGCGAAAAATTGCAAAAATAAAATATTTTCAGGTTCAAATGCCAATGGATAGGATTTTAAATTACGAGCTCAACGAGGTATGACATTCCTTATTCTGACCTTTCTTCGCAATATGCCAGCCAAAACACTGATTTTTTTTGGCAGAAAATAGGGTTTTACATGTTTGTCAAAAATACGCTTTTCTTTTGCAGTATTTCAGTCGTAGTTTAGCCAAATCAAGGCGCACATCTAAAAGACAGACTGTTTTGAGTAGCTAACAACCTTTGCTAACTATTTCCACCACATTTTCAAAAATTTATTTTTTGAAAAATTTTCGAATTTTTTTGATGGTTGTATCATAATTTTTTGCGAAAAATGACAAAAATAAAAAATTTTTAGGTTTGAATGCCAATGGATAGAAATTTAAATTACGAGCTCAGCGAGGTATGACATTCCTTGTTCTGACCTTTTTTGCAATATGACAGCCAAAAAACTGATTTTTTTTGGCGAAAATAAGGTTTTGAATCTTAGTCAAAAATACGCTTTTCTTTTGCAGTTTTTCAGTCGTAGTTTAGCCAAATCAAGTCGTACAGCTAAAAGACCGACTGTTTTAAGCAGCTAACAACTTAGCTAACTACATCCATAATTTTTTGTGAAATTTATTTTTTGATAAATTTTTGCAGTTTTTTAAGGGCTTGTATCATGTTTTTTTGCGAAAAATTGAAAAAATACAATATTTTTAGGTTTGAATGCCAATGGATAGGAATTAAAATTACGAGCTGAACGAGGTATGGCATTACTTATTCTGACCTTCTTTTGCATTATGCCAGCCAAAACACTGAATTTTTTAAAGCGGAAAATAGGGTTTTACACTTTAGTCAAAAATACGCTTTTTCTTTGCAGTTTTTTAGTCGAAGTTAAGCCAAATCAAGGCGTGCAGCTAAAAGACCGACTGTTTTGAGCAGCTAACAACTTATGCTAACTATTCTTATCACTTTTTGGAAAATTTATTTTTTGATCAATTTTCGCATATTTTAAGGGTTGTATCATGTTTTTTTGCGAAAAATTGCAAAAATAAAATATTTTCAGGTTTGAATGCCAATGGATAGGAATTTAAATTACGAGCTCAACGAGGTATGACATTCCGTATTCCGACCTTTTTTGGCATTATGCCAGTCAAAACACTGATTTTTTGGCGGAAAATACGAGGTTTAAGCTGGTAGTCCTCATATTTTTTGCAAGTGCATCAAAGGGTTAAGGAAGCCATGGGAAATGGTCGACTGAAATGAGCAAATGTCAAGTGCAAGTCTGAAGATGGAAAAGAAAAACAAATCAAAGCCAAAGGCATGGCCGGCATTTGTCAGCGTTTTGTTTAAATGTGAATTAAAGAATCTCCGTCTGTAAAGGGCTTTGGGGATGGGGATTAGGATGGGGACTTTGTAATTCGGCTGCAGCCGCACCATCCACATCCACATCCGCTTCCGCACACTCATATGGGAGATTGCTTATTTGGCTGTTGGCTGTTGGCCACTTGGCGAGAGTGGCAAGTGCAAACATGACTTCCCGGGAGCTGAGCGCCACTTTCTGCTGCTGCTGCCAGTGCTGCCAGTGGTGCATGTGCCATTTGCATAAATCAAATTTGAATTTGCATTGCAACGAGCAGTTGCAGTGGGTGAGAAAGAGCGGCAACAGCTGGCGTCTCCGGGCTCAAAGCGTTCTCCGCACAAATACACAGGCAGCCAGGTGTGCCAGCTGGATAAACACGTACGTACACGAAGGATCCCCGCACACACGTGCGCCTGCGAGTGTGTGTGCTCAGACACGCACAGGGCAATGAGCACGCAGCCAAACTTACGCACGCCCGCTTCCCGCAGCACAAACGCAAAAACAAACGCAAATGCAAGTACAAGTGCAAATACAAACACACACACACACAAACAAACAACCACTAAGCAGCGCCAAAAACTCACTCCACACAAAAGACGCTCAAACGATGTGCCATTAAAGGCTAAAAGCCAGTCAAAACTCCAGAGTCAAGAGCCCCCAGGTAAAACTTTTATAGCATACTTTCCAGCGTTCGTGAGAACTTCATTTCGCAGCTTTCTTTCAACAGATTTTACTAGTTTCACAACTAAAATCCGTATCTTGTTATAATACAGAATATTAATTTAAAGTATTAAATTTTAAAACTTCACAACTTTGCAGGTATTAAAGATAACAAAAATGCACAACTACAAGAGGTTTTATCACAATCCTACAATGGTATTAAATTCAACTCGGCAGAATTTAATTGTAAAATCTCTTAGAACTTTAAATCGAAAAGGTATTATAAGATTTATGTTATTTAACATTATGTTTTTATTTATGCCCCTATATTTTTAGCGAACAATAATAAAGAACATCAATTTATCATCTCATGGTATGAATTATAATAAAGAACATAAATAATAAGTATCATAAAAAGCTTAAAATCTACAAGAGTTACTATAATTCTTTCCTTCAATATTGTTTTTCAGTTTTCCTTTAAGATGTGCATTAAAAATATAACGTAGTCTCTTTAAAGTAAGCTATAATTGGTTAAATATAAAAAATTTATTGATATTATTAATAGCACTTATCAATTTTTTTCTCCTGACATTTTGGTGGGTTGGTGCCCTTGTCGTCGGGCTCACGTTTCCCTTGATTTCTTTGCAATTTCTTGCACATTAGCTCAGAAACTTTCGCTGCCAGGCTGCACACACACTCGATCTTGTGCCCACACACACACAGAAAGTGCATTAACATCCTGCCATGCCCATCCCACTTTTTGGCAACTTTTTGCCTAGTTTAAATTAAATAATAAATGCGCAAAGTTGGGCAAATTTATAATGTTAAGGCAAAATTGTTGAGTGACTTTTGAGTAGATTTTTGTTGTCTGGGGTAATTGCGAGTTAATTGGCTACGCTTGACAATTGCTGATTTATGAAAGCAAAAGATTCGAAATACTTGAAATATAATTAGTCAGGATTTTAGGTATTAATTGTAGAAGACCACAGTCCATAAATAAATGTTAGGAGCCAACTTTTTTGTTGATTAAAGTCTAACTATATTTTATACCGGCATTAAATTATCGACTCGAAAACTTCCAATTTATTAAAAGAGATAAATTGCCAGCCGAGATTCCATTCTCACCGCGAGTGAAAAATACCAAGCATTTGGCTATTTTTTATCGTGTCACAAAAACCGCTTGGAGGCCCTTCAATGGCTGTGCCAATGTCGCCCCAGTGGATGAGGTTGAGGATAATGCCCTTCAATCAAGTTTGTGGCCCCATCGGCTGACGTGACTGTTGCTCATTTCACGCTTGGCCTTTCCATTGTCCTGCTGCCAGGGGGCTGCCAGCCCGCCGGCTGATTACCGACGAGTTCGCAGGAAGTCCCGATAAGATTGCAGGTCCATAAACGCCAGGCCCCCTGTTAAACAAGAAATTCGGAAGAGGGAGTCAAGTTAGGGGAGGTGGGACAACAAATCACTTCGTATCACTTTATAACACTCGCCTGGCCTTTGCGGCGAACTTTGCATCGGGGTCTTCTTGGCACTGGCATCGTTTGAGGTAAAGTCTGTAAAAAAATATATACAAGCTTTAATAAGCTTTTATTGTTCTTTTAATGCACAATATACAAAACAGTGAAGTAAGGCTATTTTATACTTTTCAAGGAACGAAGTCTCTCTTTAATCGATGTCTCGAAATGGACTAATCAAACCCATTATTAAAAAAATGATTTCACTGGGTCACAATTTAATATTCTGATGACTATCTTTCCGCAAACTTAGTAAACTTATTAAGCTATAAAAAGTCTATGCTTAAAATTTAGGACGTACTCGCAGGACTCCGTTTAACACGCTCGAACTCATAGGCAACATCTAAAAAATACGTATGTTAAAATAATTTAATATAAAGAGCATATGGAGCATTTGATAAACTCTCACATGTGGGTCTCTGATTTTGTTCATCTGTCCTTACTATCTGACTTTCATCTTTTGCTATATTTAATAATAGTTCATCTCTTGCAACTTTTACTACACTCTTTGAGGTGCCAGGTTCATTTGGTTCCGTTGGCTTGACATCTTCTTTAATGTTTGGCTTTATCTCTTCCTTACCACTAAAGAAGAAATTAGACAGGACTCCGCCACCACCATGACCACCACCTTCCTTTCTAGTTTCGGTACTACTTTCCGCAGCACCACCTCCTCCTTCTATTTTTTTGGTGTCCTTACTACCACCAGGGCCATCTTCACCGCCGTCTTTCTTATTTTTCGTGTTTTCTTTGCTACTCATAAACGGCTCCATTATCTCTAGAGGAATGGGGTAAATGATCCTAACACGTCGCTCCGAGGCGATCGAAGACAGGATCTGCAGATGCCTCAGCTAAGAAAGATGGATAGGATTTGGTTATACGCTTCATAAACTTAAAGATTTTACCTGAAGTGTAATTCTGTTTTCGGACATCACATCGGAGGCCTCCTTTAGAGCCCTCGAGGCCTTAAGCTCACCTTCGGCCAAGATAATTTTGGCACGAGCTTCTCTCACAGCCTCAGCCTCGCTGGCCAGGGATCTTTCCAAGCTGGAGGGCAATATGATGTCCATCCTAAGGTACAAATAATTATTGTTATATTTTTCTTTAAATTAAACAAATCAATCTCGTTGATACCGGAAGTTTCTTTGAAAACTTAAATCAAACTGAGAATGTTTTAATATTTTTTGAAAGCACCTATCTTTTGTCTTACAAATTTAGGTATTTTAAGTTTAAAGAATACTTTTCTTACACATCCACTCGCTCCACACGAACTCCCCAGCGAGCTGTGATCCCGGCCACCGCTTGTTGGATTTCCCGGGAGAGTTGCTGCCTGGAGGTCAGCAGGACATGGAGCGTCTTGGATCCCACGATATTACGCAGCGTGACCTGGGAGATCATCTCTGTGGCCTGCTGGGCATTGTCCACTTGGATGATCGAATCAATGGGACTGTAGATGCAAAAGTACACCACTGCATTCACGGTGATCGTCACTGAGTCCTTGGTGAGCACGTCCTGCGGACGAACGTTGACGACATCGGTTCGCATATCCACCCTGTGGATGTCATCGATGCAGGGTAAAAAAAACACTAATCCTGGTCCCCGGAGACCCCTTCTGTGGAATGTAGGATTTTATTTAGGTCATTAGTCCTTGACAAATTGCAATAAACTCCACCTTAGACGACCCAGGCGTAGGATAATTAATCGATCGTATTCGCGAACTGTCATTATACAGCAGCATAAGGAAAAGGGTAATGTTATGGCCACAAGAAACCAGCAAAGTGCCACGGCACATTTCTCAAAAGTGGAGTCCTTGCTGTCCTCAGCTGGAAAATAGGTAATAAACTGATCAGATTGGGACCTTAGGGTTGTTAGGGCTTACATACTAGTTTGAATGTACCGACTTGGAGGAGGCTGCCGACCCCCTGGCGCACCTTCAGCCGAAGGTCTCTGGAACTCCTTTTGTTTGGTTTCTTTTAAAGGTTCTTTCTGGTTAGATTCATTGGCTGCCACTTTGGTCATATACCTTACCTTCCTTCTCCTCGTTGCGATCGCTCATGACGATAAATTTTAAATTATCTATAAGTGAAAAAAAGTACGTGACTCGTGTGTATGATGTTTATTTCAAAGGCACCACATCGAATTGGCAGATAACCCCGGAAGAACCCCCTGGAATACTCATATGAATTTTCTTTCTCATTTATTTCCGCCCTGCAAGCGAATGAAATTTTGAGCAAATAAGGAGGGGGCGTTGAATTGCACATAACCCGCAAGAGCTCATAAATTTCCTTTTTCCAACTAGAAAAGCTCAACTGCAACCCATTCACTGTCAACCCGCAAAAACCCCAAAAGTGCACATTACTCTGCTTATAAGCAAGCCACTTTTTTCAAGAGAATTCGCTGGGTGACAGCAAGGGGAAAGGTCAGAATACCAGATGAGGGCTCGGAAGGTGATGGAAATGCATATTGTGCAGAGAACTGACTGTCTGTTTTGGTACCAAAGAAAAGTTGTGGTTGTTGTTTTCATTTGCCAAATGGGACTAATGAGTTGTGCACAACATTATAAAGCACTAAAGCCTCAAAACATGCCAACAAAATGGAAAATTATGATATATATAAGAACATTCATCAGAATTATTTTAATATCTAACTAATTCTAGCTATCCTACAACTAAATTTCGTAAAATTTATACATCCCCCCTTTCTTTAAATTGAAGCTCTTTACTATAATTACTAAGATATGTTAAGTTCTTCAATGATCCATATACTTACGAGTCGCACTGTTCTGTAGGCCAAAGGTGCCGCGGCAGAAGTGTCAAAATCTGACATGGAAAAATGAACCCAACACGAAGAGCTCCTAATTTTAGTAACAAAAGCCGGTTGGCTGGCTTCTTGGCACCCAGGAACCCTTTGTGACGCGGGAAATCCAAATAGAGAAAGTTTGAAAAGTGGCCGGAAGAGGAAGACAAGACGGTGGCTGGCGAGAAGGCTTTTCCGATGATAATACCTGGCGGCATGAACGTGACGATGACTGGCACGATAACATTGAAATATTACCTTGGCGGTATCCCCACTCCCCATTCCGCCAAAAGATTCCCGGCTGGCAGTACGACGCCACCCAACGTGGGCAATTATAATTAGATGTGACTGACGGTGGAAGCTCAATTAAAAGCCACGTGGCTGGGCGAACACCCAAATTGGGTTAAAACGTGCAGCGGCAAATAGTCGTGGGTGAGCAAATGCAGCGGCCAAAAAACCGCTTGAAATTGTTTCTATTTCAATTTGCCAACGTGGTTTTTCGGGGTGCGGAAGCGTGACATTTTGGCTGTGCCGATATTTATGCTTTCCCGGTCTCAAATCCCCACATTTACACAACTTTCGGTCGGAGGGGCCTAAGGGCCCCAGGGTTTTCGGTGGGAGGGATTTTCAGTGGGTGTGGTGGAAAACTTTCCGTTTTCGTTTTCATTTTCATGCCAAATTTCGACACACACATCCGCGTCTGCGGTCAACTCCGGGTATCCGGGCGACCGGAAGCCTTCGGCAATGCGACGATAGGAAATTGGTTTATTTTATTCCCATCGACAGTTTGCTGCGGCCTTGGGTGAATTTTCCAGTGGGCGGTCGCTTTTTGGGAATTTTCAAATTAACATGAAAAACGATTTAACGATTGCGCTCTGAAAGATCTAATTAAGAAAAAACAATTTCCGATTTTATTACGAATACCGAAACAATTAGAGCAACATTTGTTGAACGCTTGATGTTAGCTTGGTATTTTTTTGCTTTTGAGTGAACTGCCCCACCTTTGGGCCAACAAATTGACTGGTTCAACCTGGTTTTTGGCGGCTGGTAGGCCACTCTGCCAAATAGCCTCAGTCTGGCCACGAACTAATGAAAACGAGCCCCAAATGAAGTTAGAGTCAACGGCAATAGCGGATGCCGGCAACTAGGCCAAAATAAGTAGATGGAAAGCATATGGAAAGGATTGCTTATAGCAGCGAATGTGTAATACACTTTTTCATAAGTATAACCTATAGATGGTGAACAAGAATCAATTAATGAAATGTAATATTGTATAAATTTTTCCTACTGCTGAAATTGTGTAACCTTAACCAAGTTGATCTTTAAATAATACTATTAAAATGGCTTCGTTTAGATGATTAATAATCATTTATAATTGAATATAATGTATGATATGTAACCCTAATCTGGTTTGAATTAACAGTAATCGTATAATTTTAATTAATAAATTACTTTTAAAATTATTGTATTTTGACATGCTTTAAATAAGCATCTTTTTAATATTTGGGGTATCTACAAATTTATAATAATTTTAATAATGTTCTCTGTTCTTAATTCCCGTTATATAAGAATACCTGGTTAAGCCCAGCAAATTCGTTAATTTAAACTCCATATTTTACAAATGTATAAACCAGAAAACACTTCACACTCTAGAGCAGGGTAACATAGCTCTCAGCCAGGGTATAAGAGGGTCTTTGACCCCATATCCTCTGGCCAACAGCCCCCTTTGCCAACTCTTTGACCCCAGTCACATGCAGCTGAAAATGCATTTGGAGTGTGTGACCGCAGAAACACCGAAAACCAAAAACGAAAAAGGGCCAAATGGAGGGCCCCAGAAACCCAAGAATGAATGAAGTGGAAGACATGAATGGAAACGGGCGAAACAGGATCACACTCATATGAGCCAACAAAAAATTGTGGGCGGCAAAAAATGTTGGCTAAATGTGCTCGTTAGTGGTTTTCTGGTTGAGTTTTCCCTGTCGATTGTCTGTGAGTCCCTTATTTCCATTTTTTTTGTTTGCGAATTCAGAACCAGATTCATATCCGTATCGCATAAATTCCGTCTGCAGAGGCTTCTTTTAGCCAGCTCCCCTGCCACTTTCCGGAATTCGTTGGCGAATGTTTGACTTTTAGGCAAAGTCAACACGCAATTTAAATAACAATTGGCCTTTCTTTCGCCCATGGATGAGTGTCATTAGCAAGACATTTATACGCCTCAGCTGAGCACCCAACACATGTTTATGCATATCAGCAACCTTTTGCCGAGCATAAATTAAGTCAAGGCCAGGATTTTGCTGGCAAGGCAAAACATTTTGCCAAACATGTGCGACTCAATGTTCAGCGAAAGCTGTCTAAGAATATGGATTTCAGGCAGCTTGGAGAGAATTACTCACACAATTCGGGGGAAAATGTGATAAAAGTACCGGAAAAGTTATTCACTTAAGAGTTAAAAGTGTAAGTAAATGAAAGCTTTTTAGACCCATTTAAAGTATCGGTTTAGCGAGGGTAAAAATAATAAATTAACGGAAAATGAAATCTGTACATTTTCCGTTGATTTATTAGTTTCATTAATGTATTTATATATATTTTTATAATACTAGCTATTTATAGCAAGAGAAAATAGTATGTAAAGTAATTCCATAATGATCAATAAAGTTATAAATATTTTTTCCAAATACTAATAAATAAAAAAAGGAAAAAAAGCTTTTATAAGTATTTTATAAAATAACATCTTTTGTTTTTATATATTTTATCTAACCCTTTTTTAAACATTACGGATTGAAACCCGTCATATGTTGAATGAATGTTTAAGCAGCCACATTAAAGTGGACTCGGTGGCATTAGATGACCTGGACATCTTTATCCTGTGCCGGTGCCAATGCTTTTCTTCTGTCGTCCTTATCCTCTTTGCATTCCCGCTTTATCTAAGCTCAGCTTTGGCATTGTTAATGCCAACACATTTTCACATTTTTACCCACTTGGAAATTTACGTATTTCCCAACGCACCAGACATTGGAGTCCCCACCCATCTGATGTCACGGCATTTCTACTTTCCTGCACTTTAGTGAGCGCACAAATCCGCATCCGCACTAGAAACGGAAAAAAGAGGGATTTTATCTTTTAGTCGCTTGTTGCTTTTGGCTCCTTGAAGTCGCCGTGCGGACATTTCCGGCTGGAGAAATACGTATGCTCGAGGATTCGTCCTGACACGGACTTATCTCTGGTCCAGATTTATGCCGGAGCCAAACAATTCAGCTGCTGATTGTGGGAATTAACAGCTCCGTTACTATGCAACATTAATTTATGGCTTAAACAGCGTGCAAAAACAGTTTGGACATGATTGAATTTATTCGAAACTTTCGGAGGCCGCAAGTGCTGGCACGCCCATTAAGAATCGAATAGTCTTTTCTCCTTTTTTGTAGACGACTACTGGATGGGATTCCCCCGTTTTTTCACCCAACACCATCGTTGCCAAGTCATCTGCACTGATTTCCATGGCAAATTTCAGCTTTCGTACCATTCATTCATTTCCGTCGCCGAACAATGGATCCAAAAAAAGAAACCGAAAGTGGGAAAAAGTGTCTGCATTGAGACAAATTTAATGAAATTTCAAATTGCCACTCGCCTTCTGTCTAGATCTCAGGATGCTTTCGTCTCCTCTTCGTTTTGTCAATGCTACAGGCGGTCGTTCTGGTTTTCTTGGGCAAACTACAACAATTATTTGGAATCTCTGGAAATCTGTTAAAAAGCTGGTAACAGAAATTGGAATAAATATAAATTATTAAAACAATCTTTATTTTATACAATACCTATGAAATGTATTAAGGGGCAAATAAAATTTTTTTTAAATCGAAGTTTATAAAAACATTTTTTAGCTATACACATGCAGCTGAAAATAGTAATATAGGATTGTATTATAAGAAATCAATTTCAATAAATCAGACGTTTAATTATAAGATAAGTGTTTTATGCCCCGGAAATAAGCGACAAATTGGAATAGGAATAGGAGAGTGTGAATATAGGAATCGGTTCCGTGCGTCCTTTCTTCTCCGGCTCAGTAGATGGCTTTGCATGTTGGACACGAGTCTACTGAAGTCGCCTCGTTCAGGGTCTCTTTTGTGCCACTGTGACAGCTGCTCATTTCACGCTTGGTAATTTCAATGAATTTTGCGGGGATCCAGCAGGACATGCCACGCCAACAAGGACCCCGGCACGCTATCCACTTATTTGTATGCCGCTCATTAATTAAATTTGCTCATTTATATTGAATACGCTTAGTTCGAATAGTTTTTCTTAGGTTGGTTAGATGGCGTTGAAATAAAAAAAATCAATTTAAAAAACACAATAAGGTCGCTTCTTTCCTATACTAATCCCTATTTCTTATCTGTACCGAATAGCCCTTAACTACTGCCAACTTCGAGAAAGAATAAAAAATTATTAGGCTATTTCGACTTTTTTTTTAACTTTTGTTGTTTCAAACAAACAAATGTAATTATATTATTACTTGCATCAATACATGGTAAAAGAGACGGTACTACAAATTTGGTAACAAACAATTTAGCAACTTTGAAAAGTCTTGTCCAGGTCTTGGTAACTATGGATAGGATCTCAGGTTTCCCATCTATCCTATCTCAGCATATCTGCGTAACGAACTGGCAGATAGGCAAAGAAACTCTTGAGCATGGAGGAGTTTCTGACCAGGTGGGGACTCAGGGCCTGCCAGCAGATGCGGGTGAGGGTCAGGATTCTGTCGTTGAGTGGCATCCGGTAGTTGGCCTTTATCTTCTTGGCATGCGCCTCCAGGCGAGCAAAGTCGTCGAAGGTGTCCTGGGCCGAGAATCCTTCGCGCTTCACACTGGGAGCATTGGTCAGTTGGTTCTCGACGCGCAGAAAGGTGCTCAGCCCTTTTTGGATCACCTTGCTGATCTCCTCGTGGCTGTAGGTCTTTCCATAGCGCCGCTTTATCCATTCCTGCATCACAAAGGATTTGTGGGAGTTGGGAAAAGCGGCGAAGACGCAACGTGGATCCCGTCGCAGCATGGTAAATCCATCTTTCAGAAGGCGTTCCATTAAATTCTTGTTATTAGGATCAAATTTCTTGATGTCCTTAGCCCAGTCCAGCTCATTCTGCACGCCACCACCACAGATCGGGGAAGGTTCTTCCTTCACGGGCTCATCGGAATCATATAGTTTTTCCGATTTTATGGAAGATTGGGTGCGTCGACGGGGTTGAGGGAGAATAACCGAATTAGTTGGCCTTTCGGATTTTATAGACTCCTGATTCCGTTGATGGGCCTCCAGGGAGCCAAACCACATGTTCTGGGCGCACTCCACAATGGCAGCCACCACTTGAGCTTTGGGATCCACCCGTTCGTTGTACTCATCCTCGGTGGAGGGGCAACTCTGATCTCTCAGGGTTCGTATGGCCTGGCTGCGTATCACACCCTTGGGTGAGGGATTATGGTCCTGGGGGGCCATCTCGTGGTAATGGAACACAAAGGGCTTGTGCCGATGCGGTCCCACAAAGAAGCGTCCTGGTTTGGATGGCTTCTCGCAAGGCGATGGTGGCTTCACATCACCGACCTTTGTCTGCGTCATGATCACCCTGCGCGGTCGATTGACATGTCCAAGAATAGATGGTGGACAGTTGGCCAGCTTCTTCTCCTCAGGCAGGGGCAATGGACATTGGATGTCATCGTCTGGATCCGAGACGCGTACTGTGCTCAAACGACTCACAGTGTCCTTGCCGCTGATCACATGAATACCCAGATTGGGCTTGGTACTCAGTCGCCCGATGTCCGCCTCCTGGTAGAGGTACTTCACCTTATCCGCTTGGACAGTGGTGGCACTTTGCCCACCGAGCACAGCTGATCGTGATCCTCCAGTAAAACAACATCAGTGTGATGGCGTTGGCGAAGTCGTTGCCATCGCAGGGTGTACATCTCAATGTCCCTTTCCAGTTGAGCCACCAAGCGTTTTTTAAGGACAGCATCCTGGCGAGAAGTCACGTCCACCAGGGCCAGACATTGTTTGTGTGCCCTGACCACTGCGGCATCTTTGACCAGCTGCTCCTGTCGCCTTGCCTCCTTGTGGAACTCGCACATGGGCATTGTCTCGTCCTCCGCCTGCGAGGAGGCATCTATCTTGCACCAGTAGTCACCCATGATGTCACCCACCATCTTGAAGAGCATCCGCTTCACCGGCTGAAACTTGTACTTGGCAAACCAGCGGCTTTCGTCGTTAACTTTGTAGTTGGGTCTCTCGCCAGCGGCCAGAAGGGAAAGGTGACCACCAGGCGGGGTCTTTTAGAGGAGAACTTGGCACCACTCGTGGGCATTTTGGGTTTGGGCAGGGGCGTAAAATAGGGCGATCGGACACTACGGAGATCAGAGACCCGCCTGGTCGGTAAGGAGATTGAGGTGGTGGCCACCGGTGGAGCGATAGACTTTGTCCTCTTCAGCCGCTCCACTCCCGGCGGCAGGATGCGGTCCAGTTCGCGCATCGTCATCTCCAAGTCCAGGTATGTAATGGCCGACATAAGTATCCTTTCGCTGTAGGCGAAACCAGCTCCCTTATAGCATGCCTCCAGGAGAAAGTAGAGAAAGGCCAAGTCGCTGCCCCGGCAAACACCTAACAACTTTCGCAGCATCCGCACCTTCACCATGGGAGTGACTCCCAAACGATTCAGGCAGAATTGGGTGCGGTACACCGTAGCCTCGGCATGATCGTCCCGGATGGAGAACTCCAAAGCGAGAATGGCCTGCACCTGAAAGTCGGAAAGATTGGTGAACCATGTGGCCCCCACCTGCGCTGGCATGTCCCGCATGTTTTACTTCTTTAATGAATAATATTTAAATATTTTTATATTTTAAAGGCTTGTTAAAATCACTTAAAATTTTGATTGATGCTGTGTATGCTAAGGCTTAAGGTTTAGTAAAAACTGGACTATGCCATTGTTCTGGTTACATGAAGTCAGTTTTCAACGCCAACTTCTCGTTTTTAGTGCCCAAAAATTGCCTATTTATTATAGCCCCAACTTTAAGGTTAAAGTCCTCAAAATGTTTACTTTCATAGAAGAACCAAAGGAAATACTTAAGAGTCTGCCATACATTTTAAATAACTTCAATAAAAAAATCAGCAACTGATGAATACACTTTCGCATCCATCTCTCAACCCTTCCACACTCAATTGACACGCCCCACACTTATCGGCGATGATTGAGGCAATTGCATCGTTATCTGAGACTGCATTGAAAAGCCATTAATTTGCCACCTTCCACCAGGCAACAGGTGGAATCCCGTGTTGTTGCCTCCGGCATTGCTTTTCTTTTTTTTAGCCACCATACAATACCATACCACACCGTACCATATCGTACCCATTTCCCGTCCTGACAACTGACAATGATGGATTAGCTTATCAGAGCGGGTCGGGACATTCATTTGCTCTTTGTTTCACAGTTCATGGCAGGACCACACCACCGCTCCCATGGGAACTAATAACTTTATCCGTCATCAGAGCGAAATATAATAGAGTAATTTTCTGTTTGACGCGCCAGGATAATTGGCTGGACTTGGACTCGGACTTGGCCATATGTCGCTGCACTTGCAATCAGATAAACTGCGGCAGGAGGGCAGGAGGTGTGGAGGTCCACTCCGCAGACTGTTGAGGTCACCAGAAGAATGGGCAAATCACATAAATTACTTTATGATGGCGCTGGGGCCATGAATCTGGTGAGAGAGGAAAAACTTTCTTTTGGACCGGCACATGTGATCACGGAAGGCAGAAAAAAAATAAATAAAAGAGTGGCAACTTCCAGACTGCCGCAAGGAAGCAACAAAAGTCATTTCGAAGTTATTACCCTTCCTACCCCAACCCAGAAACCCCTATATATATATATATAGAGTTAAAGCCTGGTCAGTCAGTTGCCATTTGTTTGTCGCTTCATAAAAAATAGCAAAGAAGGCGAGAAAACAAAAGTTTTCCTCCTTTTGCTCTACGAACTTTTGTCAGCCTCGCTCTGTGATAAAGTTTTCCCCTTTCTATTTTATTTTTTGGCCAATTTTTATTTGTGACTAACCATTCACAGAGTTTTGCTTTTTTTGCTGCTGCCGAAATAAGTTTGCAATTCAAGGAACTTGCATGAAAAATGCAATTTCAAATAAAATTTAAGTTTTTCAGTTACCCCTGCTGGCGCAATATGCAAATGATTAAATTTGAAAATATTAACCTCTGGGGGGCTTGAACAAAAGTGGAAAGAAGTAAGTGGATTGTTTCGTTTAAATTGGGTTGGACCCAAAATAAGATACTTTTGAAATAACATTCAATCATTCAATCTAGGGTCGAACAAAAAAATTCATTGTTATGAAGAAACAATATGCAGTCCAATATGAGAAGAGTGAAAAGATGGAGCCTTCCCCAGATGCGGGTAGAGTTTGAAGGACCTTCGAGATTACTTCTTAACTTATTTCGTTACAGATAAGGGCAATCTGATGATTGAGAAGTTAGCCGTGTTTTTGTCTTGGTTTTGTGTAGTGATATTTTTCCCTTTCTCGATATGCTGTGGCCTATATGTGGTTAAGGAGTTTAAGAGGATTGTGGTATTCCGATTGGGTCGTCTCAGGTGAAGTTCCTAACTTCTCTAATGCACGATCTATGATCTCAATTCCACTTTCAGAGGTTGCTCAGGTCCAGGTCTGGTATTTCTGCTTCCCTGCATCGATTCGTTCAGAACGGTGGATATTCGTACGGGTGTGATTGATTCCGATCCCCAGGATATGCTTACCAAGGACTCAGTGACAATAACGGTGAATGTAGCTGTGTACCACTACGTGTATAACCCCATCGACTGGTTTATCAAGGTGGACGATGGAAATGATGCCATAAAAAGGATTTCCCAGGTCACTCTGCGCAGCATTGTCGGATCCAAGAAACTGCACGAAATATTGACCTCCAGGGAGCAACTGTCGCAGGAAATCCAGGATGCTTTAGCCGGGATCACCACTCGTTGGGGAGCTCGGGTTACGCGAGTGGGCCTGTAAGATAACCCCATTTATATAATTGACCAATAGTTCTGGTTACGTGTTCGCTAGGTTGGAAATCATCATACCAAGTAGTTTGGAGCGCTCCTTGGCAGCCGAAGCGGAGGCATCAAGGGAAGCACGAGCCAAGATCATTTTGGCCGAGGGCGAGGCCAAAGCTTCACAGGCCCTAAAAGAATGCTCTGATGTGATGTCCACGAACCAAATTACCCTACAAGTAATATCTTGATATTTATTATTCGTAAGGATCCCAAGAATTCTAACTTTGTTTATCAAACATAGTTGAGGCATCTGCAGATTCTCTCATCAATGGCAAAAGAACGTAGGGTAAATGTCATTTTCCCCATCCCCTTGGAAATAATGGAACCATTTCAGGATGGGAAGGAGTCGTCGAATGCAGCTCAAGACGGCGATGATGGAAGGGATAAGTATGAGCAATCTGATAAGCTGAACTTATACTCACCAAAAGTCTACATCATTGGTCCACCACCGGATGCATTCCCCGATCCCAATCCCAATCCCAATCCCGAACCTGAACCTGAACCTGAACCCGATCCCGAATCAGGTACTGATAATGGGTTAAGGTCTTCTGACCGTAGGGATACCAAGAGGCAAGTCCCAAAGAAGCAACTAATAGGGAGAACGTAGATGAGACCAGACCTGGCCGATCTTGGCAGTGGCCACCATTCTTCAGACCCTCGCGAAGACCTGATAACAGCGGAACAACCATCTGGCAGTCCGAAGAGCTCCCATTGAAGATGGCCAACGACCTGCCAGCAGAGGAACTAATCTAACTGATGGAATCGAACCTTATCCACTTTTGACTAAGCCTCCAGCCCGATCCAGTTCGCCCTCTACAAAGCAATCTTCTGTTCCCATTCCTCCTCGTCCTGATCCCCCGGCACTTCCTCCGGTTCCATCTCATCCGACGCTTCCTCCTATTCCACCCCATCCAACTCTACCTCCTCTCCCGAACGACCCACACCTCCTCCAAAATCTACTTCCCCACCAGAAGAAAAAGATCAAAAGTGACAAAGCCCGACAAAAATTATTATTTTTAAGTAATGCCTGTAAAAATATATGTGGGACTATGTTTTAAGTAAATTAAAATAAATGTAGGTCATGAATTTTATTTCAATGTCAGTTTCATATGTGAACTTTTAACAAGAACGCCACCAATTTTTTAATGTGAATTAAAAATAACACAGGATATAAAATGTCCAACGACAAAAAGTATGCAATGCTGGAAATGAACAAAAATGGAGTTCAGAAGGGAGCATCCTTAAAGACCGAAGAATAAAATGATAACTTCCCAAGAATGCATGCAGCTGAAAAGAGATCTGGAGTCCGCCGATAGTCACGATGAGTTCGAAGTTAGTCCCATGATCCTGTGTCTGATGTTAACCTTTCTGCTTTTTGTGATTGGTTTTGGATATGGCTGATATCGAGAAGCTGCCTCTTTGCCCAACCCGAGGAAGTTGAGAAAAAAGACGAGGCAAGACAACGTTTTTCCGGGGGTTCAACTCCGAGTTCCAAATCCCCAAATGTTCGTTTTTTTGATGGACCTACTCACAACAAAGCTTCTTCGACTAGCAGACTCCAAAAAGGCAGCTCCAATATCTCGCCAAGAATCAACATGACCCCGCATTTTGGAAAAGTAGTCCCATGGGCGTTTGTCGTGATATTTCTTACGAAGATGGCAACCAAGGCATTTTGAAGGCTAACTACTGTACTTTAATGCAATTGCCAGAAACATCGCCCATTTTAGTTCATACAGCCGCAGAAACTGAGTCGGGAGCTATTACAGAAACCATATCGGTATCATCAATACAGAGGGGCCATTTCCCCCACTACAGCGGTCCAAGAACCTCAGGGTTAAGGAATGATAGGGATGGATGTGCCTCTAGTCAAGCTGTAGCTGGTTCACCATTAAACTACGACAGTATGCCCCCGAATTTGGGAGGGAAGCTCTTCGCCCAAAAGGAAGTACACTATAAAGTGGGCCAATTTAATGAGGCGCGGTCGAAAGAATCTCTCCGAAACTTAAGTCCTCAGTAAATTTATATTCATTGGTAAATGGGTGAAATGTTAGTTGTTTTGATAAAAAAAAATAATTCGTTAATTATTAAAACTGATCATCTTACAATATATTATTTCCAGCTTACTAATATTATTAACACTCATTTATATTTAAAATTGTATTGTATTTATTTTATAAGATCCGAAATATAGAAAGGATCTTTAACATTTATGAGATCACAAAGAATTGGCTTAAACTTTTATACCATTATTTTCAGTATAACAACTATTCGATGTCATTTAAGGAACATATAAAAAAACTTCAGCAAGCCAAGAAAAATAATTAAAAGAAAAGTTTTCTCGAAAACATTTATCTTCAAGTAATAAGAATGAATCCAGCGTGCAGGATGAACCTGGAGAGCAGGGAGTGCCAGGATTGGATGAACGAGGTGTGTGCCCACTGTCCCACCTGCTGCCCAGTTCGGAGGAGGCGGAGCTCTGGGACAAATGGTGGTCGGATGAGTTGCCCGCTCCCTTCAAGACCCGGGTCAATCTAATGTCCGCCTACGACTGCCACAAGCTGCGCAAGGAGGTGGCCGCCAGGTGATGGCCCACGGGGATCGTGAGTGGTACGAGGAAGTGACAATCCAGTCTCCTGGACCGTTGCCCATCTGATCCTCATGATCCTGGTGATGGCATCCGCTGCGATAGCCATGGTATTTGCCTTGAAAATGTTATACGATGGAATGAGACGATGGTCAAGGGGAGTCAAATGTCCACCAAAGGAGGTGATGCGCGTGAAGAAAACCCCGCCACCTACTCCCCACCTCCTCCGGCTGATGTGGAGACCCCCGTCCAGAAAAATCCTTGCAAGACCACTAAGCAGCCCAAATCCTTCATCTCCTTTGGCCGGAGCAGCGACCCACGTACTCGTTTTGGCCCTTACAAGAACCAGAAGCTAGTCAAGACCGCCTCCATGCCGGAATGCCAGCTGGAGGAGTTCAAACCCAGCAAGTCCAATTCCAAGACCAAGTCAAAATCAAATCCAACACCCCGAACGGATGAGCAAAGCGACCAGCATGTCGAACGGCAATCGGCGAAAAACAAATCGGCCACAAAATAACCGTCCTGGGAGCCTGAGTTCTGGCCAAAAAAATCGAAAACAAATTCGAAGGCTGTCGGAGCTGTGCTCAATCGCGGATAAGATTTATGAAATGTGTTCCGCCCCGATTTGTTTTCTTTTTCCCGGTTGCTTCTGGGCGATTTCGGTTTCCTTTTTTACGTAGCCGTGCAGCGGCGAAACACAAAAACAAATAAATATTCAGATGGTGGCACAGTGTTCCAAAACTAGGCTAAAATGGTATGAAATAACTTCCCACATATGTTTTTTAAATTATTAAAATAATAAATAAGAAGTATAAATTTAAAAAAAATTATGATCCTTAGAGATTTAATGTACTTTTATCTATTTCACTTTCATAAAAATGTTCATGTAATGAAAATAACCAAAAAAGATGTAGACCTAAATCAATTAAATATTGAAGGTAATGAACCATTTTTAACTTTAAGCGAACCAAAGATGATATGATATGATATGATCGTTTACTTATATTCTCTTTTTTCAATCATGTTTTCCCCATTTAGAGTTACAGAAATACTTTTGATTAGCTTAATCCACTATAGAAATCTCTTTCGTTGGCGGTTTCGGGATCGGGATCGGGATGCAGACCCAAAAACATGCATGCCCGTACATTTGGCCCGTATGACCTCAGAGAAGTGGCTGGCCAAGTGTTGTTCCTGGCAGCGTATCAACATTTTGCCTATAAATACGGCGGATGTCGTTAATCTCAAATGCGAGCAATTTTTAAAAATGCATGGGGTATTGTTTATCGCACGGATGGTGGATGTTTCGGAGGTCGTAGTTCGGGGTTCTCCCCACGAAGAGAATGAGTGAGTGTCAGAGTGCATGAGATGGGCAATAAAAAAACAATTGCATTAAATTTCAATTGAATGCACACTCAAATGGAAATTGTTGCAAACAATTTAGACAAAATGCATTTGTATTTACGGTATGTCTAAATGATGGCTCAAATTATGGCTGTCAGTCGAGATTTATATGCCATTTTCCGCCGCTGCGCCGGCATTTGTTTTTTATTTAATGAATTTATTTCGGATTGGGCATGGCAATCGAATCGTATATATTCCGAAGCTGGTGTGTCGCAGCAGGCGTGGCACTTAAATCACGGCCGCAACTGTAGCGAAATTGAAAACTTTTACAATACTGTATGTTTGTTTGGATTGTTTGTTCGTTTGTTTGTTTGTTATGTTGGTCGGTACTTTTAATTCATTCCCTGCAGCTGCCGACCTAGAGGGAAAAATAAAGAAGAGATCGCAGGATGGAGGATGGAGGATGGAGGATGCGGAGCGGCGACCCTTGGCTGACTTTGATTTATTTGTTGGTCCCGTCGAGCTATCCAAATGGAATTAAAAGTTTAACAGCTTTGCAATGCGCTTTAGTGCTTTAAAAACGCATTGATTGCTATTGACAAATTGATTTTCTTTCCGGCCCGAATGCCAGTTTCAGTTCGATTGGATTCAATTCGATGCGGTTCGATACGATTCGGGTGCATTAACAAAAGGGCCCTGCGACATTATGACAGACTGTCGTCGTAAATCAGCAGCCGCAGACCACAAACGAGTTGAGGCCCCTGTTTCTGGTCGTGTCAACCCTTCTGATTCCACTTTAAACGTTTCGAGAGTCAGACATTTAATTTAACCAAACAATTTAATACATAGGTGTGTGCTACTTGAAGTTCACATACACATATTGGCCATAATTAAACTTCAATGTGCATGCCAATCGAATGCAATATTTGCAACTTCTTGACTCAAATTAGAATTCGATTTGCTGGCCGCTTGTCTAGGAAATTTATTTATCGTATCAATCACCAGGCCATTTGATTGAGGTTCGTTCACAAATTATTTACCCACATTGATTTGTCCCTTTGGGTTTGCTTTGAAACATAGCCACTTTGTTTGCCCCCTGCTTTGAACTGAAATTGATGAAGCAATGTTTTTGATCCTGTGCTGCATACTTTGCTGCGTCTCCTATTGTGGGTTCCGACCAGAGTCCTGACTCCGGAGTGCCAGTTGCTCCTCCAGTTCCTCCAGTTGCTCCGCCATGTGGCATTCGAAAGCAGGAAGGCACACATCCATTTCACAGACCGCCGACAACTGGCGGTTCGGGGGGTTTCGGGTTTGCTGGTGGCTCGACTGGCTGGGCAGGCATATTAGAATTTGATAAATGTGCAGCAGGAAACCAGGGCGAAATGCACTGGGATATACGATCCACTGGGAGAAAATCCTGTGGCCCAAGCCCGTGATGAGTGACCATTGTTTGATTGTGGTTAGCACAACAACTTGGTTGCCTCTCGACAGGATTCAAAATAAAGGTTTCTAAATCAAACGTAATAACACATTTAATTTGGAAACTAAATGGATGTCGGGGTGCTGAAAACTATATAACCAGAGAAGCATGTTTAAACAGACTTGGTGTATTAGTTCCCGGTGCAGCTTTATTATGAAGTAAAAGGTATTGATTTATCCATTCACCAAGCGGAGGCAAAAAATATTGAAAAAATATGCATATTTAGAACATGATCCGATATTGATAAATTTATTACCATAAAAACAAGCACGCCAAATATTTTAGTTCCAAGCGCCTAGGCAGGATTTTCATCATGGAGGTTAAAAAATTGGTAAACAAAAAGAGGATATTAAAAAGTAAGTACTTTTAATTTTGTTTGAACTAATAAATAAGTAAAAGAAGTAACAGGATTTTTTTTTAAATATTATATACCTAAAATTATTTTAGAAGTAGTGGGTAACTTAATTTTCAATGCTTTTGGGAAGACAGCTAGCTTTTTAAGGATTTTACCAGTGTAATGCAGCCCGATTTCAGGGTTCAGCTTCATTCTTTACACGATTTAACTCGTTGATTTTGCGGCTTACACTCATTAAGCCAGCCTGGAACCCGTTGCCATTGTTTGTACATGAGTTGAAAGCAGCAGAGGATGGAAATGGAAAAAGCTGCTAACCGAGCCTGGACAATCGCCAGGGTTCTAGCCCTCTTACTTTGGCCATTTAAGCAAGCTGCACCAGGGCTCTTTGTTTGATTGAGACTCGTAGTTGGTCTTCGCCACGGAGTTGCACACTCGCATGTGGTTGCTCATACGCCCCATAAGCCCGCGCCATCTGAGACCACATATCCCCCATATCGCTAAAGATGTGGCCTGCATGTCGGCGCTGATTTTTCTTCTCAGTCTAGGACTTGATTTATTTCCATGGCCTTGCACCGCCTGCAATCCACAGCTGGGCCATTGTTACATTTCAAGAACTCAAACAAAGTATTAAATCGCACAAAAGCGATATGGAAAATATTAATAATACGCCTGGCCAATGGCCAACGATTCTTTCGCCCCAGTCTCGGAATTTACGATGGCCCGTCGCTGATTTATTCCGCCCACGGATGCGCCCCCTCGATTTGACCTCATTACACATTCAGGGGTCAGCCGCGGCGGTTTTAAAGAGTTCGCTTATCGATGTGGGTCTGCGGATTTTTGTACTAATTTTCTTTCAAGTTTATCGCTGGCTGACATAAATAATACTGCATTATTCAAAAGGTATTGCCAGTCATCACCAGAGCTGTGGTAGTATCAATTCAGATCGCATAATATGGCAATCGACATACGAACAGTCGGTAAATATGAATTTTAGATTTGATTGAATTTGAATTACATGTGGCTCTTGATGAGAAGATAAACACACAATTTTACAAGGCGTATTATCAGATACTTGGATAACATTAAAATATGCAGGGGATATTGGTGTTTGCCCCAGCTACAATCAATTAAATTCAGTGGGAAAATTCTTTAAGCAAACTAATAATAATTTCTTACTAAAAAAAAAACTTTCTAAATTTCTATGTATTTCGTTAAGCAAGCTTGTCAAGCGTTCATAATTTTTTATGAATGGAAAATTTAAATTTCGCATGAACGG